TCTGAGGAACACCAAGGAACTTCAAAGATCAACACCAGGGGCCTCCCCGGTGGCGCAGCGGTTGAGCGCTGGGTTGCGAAGCTGCCCACAGCCTCCGCAGCACCAGTTCTGTAACAGGGTGGTCCCAGGAAAGGGGGAGGTTCCCTGCCCCACCCAAGGGAGGGTGGAGCTGAGCAGGAAGAGGAGAAGCTGCAGAAGAGACTGAGGATGGAAGCAGGATGGAGCCAGGAGACCTGGAGGAGGCGCATGGAGCCTAGAGACACGTGAAGAAACTGCGTTTGTTTTTTGGTCGTGGACTGGGTGACACAGATGTGGGTGAGACCCATGGGGAGGTGACAATGGCAGTTTTTATCTTGATGTTGATTTTGCTCTTTTCCTTCGGGGCTTGTCTGGTTATTTCTGACCCTTTGCTGTGGGTCCCCACTGGAAGATGCTTTAGACTTGTGGCAGGCCTTGGGGCCTTGCTCTGGGCCAATCCCATTTGGATGGACTTTTACCCACGAGGGAATGGGTAACTTTGGGTGCTTGATTTAGAAACTAGATTCTTTGCCTTACCTGTATTGTTTCCTAGTTTTATTAAAGTTCCTTCCCATTAAAGTCTCCTATGTTTTGTGTTGATGCAGCGGATGGCAGAACCCATTTAAAATAGGCAGGTTTGCGGGGTTTGGGCTGACCCTCTCCCTGTCCTATAACAGTTCGATTCCCCGGCTGCTCCCCGGCCACCAGAGGAGGGTCCCACATGGCGCGCAGACCTCTCCTGCCGCCCGCTGCTCCCCTCAGCAGTGTACTTCAGTCTTCTGCCTGCTCTGCTCCCCGCTCTGGCTCTGGTGAATTCTCTCACCCTCCTGTGCTTCTGACTGTACCCAGTGCTTGTATAAATAAATAAATAAATCTTAAAAAAAAAAAAAAAAAAAAAGATCAACACCAGGCAAACTCCTGAATCAGGTTGGCCAAAGTTTTAAATTCTTAATAAATATTTCCTTCCAAACTTTTCAGCTTTTAAATATTTCTGTAAGTTTTATGAATTCTTACATATGACAATACATGAGATGTAACAGAACAGACTCTGTTACTTTTCAAAGTCAGACTAAATTTAAAAACCTTTGAAGCACCATTTCATTATACTTTTTTTTTTTGAGCATGGCTTTCTTAATGGGGAAAATGAGGTGCCTACACATGAAAATAGTTTCAAAGTAGTACAAAGGTTAGATATCTCTCTCTCTCTCTCTCTCTCTCTCTCTCTCTCTCTCTCTCACACACACACACACACAGATTATATATATGGAATATTTTTTAAAAATCCATTTGTTTGTTTTTCTCCCATACTCAACTATTTTTTTTTTTAAAGATTTATTTATTTATTTATATAAGCACTGGGTACAGTCAGAAGCACGGGAGGGTGAGAGAATTCACCAGAGCCAGAGAGGTGAACAGAACAGGCAGACCAACGAAGTACACTGCTGAGGGAAGCAGCGGGGCATGGCAGGAGAGGTCTGAGTGCCATGTGGGCCCCTCACCGGTGGCCGGGGATTGAACCGGTGCTGCAGAGGCTGCGGGCAGCCTCGCAGCCCAGCGCTCAACCGCTGTGCCCCTGGGGAGGCCCTCCCATACTCAACATTTTGGAAAGCTCTCCTCAATCTAGCTATGCCAAACTTTCAGAATCACCTGGATAGACTGTTCAAAGGGGTATTGCCAGTAGGGTCCAGAAACCAAGCCACCCTCTAGACTGGAAGCAAGGAATGCTTGTCCACTGAGACACAGGCCAGAGCCCAAGCTCCCCAACAGGCCATTGCAGTTCTGTTCTCTCTCTCCAGTTTTCTAAACTCCAGTTTCACCAAACTCACCACTTTGTTTGTACCCACTTGCATTTACTGTGTGTCGACCTGTCCTCCTATGGCTCTTCCACTCTCACTACACCCCCCACCCCTTCTTGGTAAATCCCTTCCCTCTGCAGTGTGTCAGGCCAGGCTCTCTAGATGTCTTGTCCTTCAACCCCAGAGCCACTTAAGTTCTATACTTCACCTCCACGGATCTGATTCAGACACGCGTCCTCATTCACATTATACGACATGCTGTTATTTCTCTGAAGGCCTCTCTTGTGAGTCTGAAATCTTGAAGGGAGAACTCGGGTTATTTTGTCCTACTCTAACAGGGTGGTCCCCAGGAAAGGGGGAGGTTCCAGGTTCCCTGCCCCACCCAAAAGGAGAGTGGAGCTGAGCAGGGAGAAGAGAAGCTGCAGAGGAGACTAAGGAAGGAAGCAGGATGGAGCCAGAAGGCGACCTGAAGGGGCACATGGAGCTGAGAGACACGTAAAGAAACTACACTTGCCTTTTGGTCATGGACTGGGTGACACAGATGTGGGTGAGAGACCCGTGGGGAGGTGACAATGGCAGGTTTTGTCTTGATTGTGATTTTGCTCTTTTCCTCCCAGATTTGTCTGCTTGTTTCTGACCCTTTTCTGTGGGTCCTCACTGGAAGGTGCTTTAGACTTGTGGCAGGCTTTGGGGCCTTGCTCTGGGCCAATCCCCTATGGATGGACTTTTACTCACGAGGGGACGGGTAACTTTGGGTGCTTGATTTAAAACTAGATTCTTTGCCTTTCCTATGTTGTTTACTAACTGTATTAAAGTTCCTTTTCATTAAAGTCTCATATGTTTTGTGTTGATGTGGCGGATGGGCAGATGGCAGAACCTATTTAGAGCAGGCAGGTTTGCAGGGTCTGGGGTGCCCCTCTCCCTGCCCTGTAACAGTACGTGCATTGTTCAGTACATGGTGTGGCATCCAGTATGTGCTCAATGAATGCCTGGAAGGGCAGGGTGGACCTAGAGTCAAACAGAGGCCATTAAAGAAAAATAAAACCACTCATTTCAGGGGCCTCCCCTGTGGCGCAGCGGTTGAGCGCTGGGTTACGAAGCTGCCCGCAGCCTCTGCAGCACTAGTTCGATCCCCGGCTGCTCCCAGGCCACCGGAGGAGGGTCCCACATGGCACGCAGACCTCTCCTGCCGCCCGCTGCTCCCCTCGGCAGTGTACTTCGGTCCTTCTGCCTGCTCTGCTCCCCACTCTGGCTCTGGTGAATTCTCTCACCCTCCCACGCTTCTGACTGTACCCAGTGCTTGTATAAATAAATAAATAAATAAATAAAAAAGAATGATTTTGGATGGAGTTAGCCACCCAGATTAAAAAAAAAAACAAACCACCACTCATTTCAGTGCTATGGAAAGAAAACCAGAATCATTGGACCTTTCCTTTGTCTGTAAATGGGAACAATAACAAAGAATTTTGTGGCCTCAGGGAAGAATAAGGACTCTACCCTTCAGGTGGAATTCCTTGAAGGAATTAGCAAAGGGTTAGAGCTTCCGCAGACAGTCTCTCCCAGCGGCTCAGTACCGTGGTGGCCAATACATGCTGGCACAACTAGGTTTCAGGCGCCCCTTGCAGGTTCCATTCCTAACTTTGCCATCTTCAAAGCTCAAAACAAAAGCCACTTTCTCCAAAACAAGTCTCCATTCCTGATTTCACGCTCCGAACTTCCCCAGCACTGTTTTTAACTGCTTTATCACGTACTTGTTTACCAAACCAGATTATAAAATCATTCCAGCTATAAACAGGGGAGAAACCATCCACAATAGTTGGTATTCTGTTTACCAGGCTCCCATCTGAGGAATGAGCATTATGTGTGAAGTTGGGCTTGGTACTGAATCAAACTAGAGTGGCTCATTCATAGTAATGGTTGACTTATTTCTGTTTTGACTAGAGGAGGTATGAAGACGTCCGGAAGCAAGGAATTTGTCAGCACATACTGAAGCGGTGGCAAGCCAGCACAGTTAGACTGGAGAGGACGTGTCTGAGGGAGAGGACGCCTGCCCCCAGAGCTGATCACAGGCTCTGTCCATTAATGACAGCCGTGGAATAAGTTTTGCATTGTTGCTCATGCTCTGAGTTCTTGCAAGTCTTCCTGGGGCATGTTCTCTTTGAGGTTTTTCCTCACCTTTGTTTCTGTTTACCATCAGCTTCCCATATAAAATTCTTTCAGTCTTTTCTGACTATTGGCTTCATCCCACTTTTCATGAGCCCATTCTGCTCGATCCTCCAGCATTTTACTCACTGTCTTTCTTTTCTTTTTTTTTTTTTTTTAAATAGAGGCATGTTTTTATTTATTTATTTATTTGTTTGTTTTGTTTACACATGCACTGGGTACAGTCAGAAGCTCGGGAGGGTGAGAGAATTCACCAGAGCCAGAGCGGGGAGCAGAGCAGGCAGAAGGACCGAAGTACACTGCTGAGGGGAGCAGCGGGCGGCAGGAGAAGTCTGTGCGCCATGTGGGACCCTCCTCCGGTGGCCGGGGAGCAGCCGGGGATCGAACCGGCGCTGCAGAGGCTGCGGGCAGCTTCACAACCCAGCGCTCAACCGCTGCGCCACCGGGGAGGCCCTACTCACTGTCTTTCTAAGTCTACCTCTAAAATACCAGGAAACAGTAGCTCAATAAATTAATTAATAACTGCATGGGCCTCCCTGGTGGCACAAGGGGTTAAGCACTGCACTATGAAGCAATCCACAGCCTCTACAGCATGAATTCAGTCCCCAGCCAGCCAGAGAGAAACCCACATGTCGAGCAGACCTCTCCTGTCTCATCCGCTGCTCCCTCAGCAGTGTGTTTCAGTCAATCTGCCTGTTCTGTTCCCCACTCTGTCTCTGGTGGATTCTCTCACCCCCCGCATCTCTGGCCTGTGCCCCAGCTCTTGTATGAATAAATAAATAAATCTTAAAAAAAAAATGGAGTCCCCTATTCATTGGGGCTTCCGCAGTAGCGAGCCTAGCACTGCATAGGCAACTTACAACAAACATTGCTCTAGTGGGAGAAGGAACAGACAGTGCTCACCTGGGCAGGTAGTTCCTGGTACACTGGAACACATTGCTTTGGCTCTAAACCCGGGCCAGCTCCTTCTCCTGGGACGAGCTTGTCTTGATTCTGCACTTAAGAAGCTGCCTTCGGGTGTGTTCTGCGTTCGTGAGCTCTGTCAGGTAAATATGGCTAAAAGCTTAAGGAGTAAGTGGAAAAGGAAGATGCGTGCAGAAAAGAGAAAAAAGAATGCCCCAAAGGAGCTCAGCAGACTAAAAAGTATACTTAAAGCAGATACTGATATCTTAATGAAAGATGTGCAAGAGATAGCAACTGTGGTGGTACCCAAACATTGCCAAGAGACAGCCTAGTGTGTGAAAGATGAAAAAGATGACATGAAAATGGAGACTGAAATTAAGAGAAACAAAAAGAGTCTTCTAGACCAGCATGGACAGTATCCCATATGGATGAACCAGAGGCAAAGAAAAAGGCTGAAGGCAAAGCGACAGAACAAGAAGGGGAAAAACAAAGCAAAAGCAGCGAAGGCAGCTAAGGGGTTGGCCTGGTAGACTCTTAAAAACTGGAGAAAGGCCTCTTGGGATTGATCTTTGATAAGAGTGTGTATGTTGATTCCAGCTTCCACCAAATGAAAACTTTGTATTTTAATTTGGTCTTTTTCTTCAATTCAGACCTCAAGTTTGTTTTGGAATTTGAATAAAATATTTTCTTTGAAGAAAAAAAAAAAAAAAAAAAAAAAAGAAGCTGCCTTCGGATTAGGGCTCCTGCCCAGCAGAAGGCGTCTGTCCTTCCTATTTATGGTAACCAGGAGCAGAAGAGACTGTACATCAGATCACAGCAGTCGTCACATTTGTGGGTCTTTATGAAGGTGCCTTCTGCAGAAATCCGGCTTCCCCGGCAGTCTGCGCCCTCTCATGAGCACCCATGAGTTCAAGCACGGGTCATGTTTGCCCAGTCCACGGTGCAGTGTGGCCCATGGCACTTCCAGAAGGTCCTCAGAGCCTCTTCCCAGGAGCCCAACATCCGCTGAAGCCCCCATCCCCACCACAGGGATGCACTCCCGCCAACACCTCCACCTCGGCACCCCAACTTCTCGATGCCCTCCACAAGGTCTCCCATCTCAAGGCCCATGGGAGCCCCAGGACCACCAGCCACTGCCGCCCCTGTGGCTGCCTACACCCCCCTCCCTCCTCAGCGTCTTCCCACCCATGTCCCAGCAGTGCCTGCTGCTTCTTCCCCCAGAGCCTGGGGGTACCCTTACCCTCTTCCTCTCTTCTTTTGTCCCCCCAACAAAGGGGAAGGCAAAGTTCCAAAATAAACAAAAACTCTGGCTTCCTAAGTACTAAAGGTCGGACACCTTGCTAGGAATTTTGCTTATCTCTGCTCCCTAAGCTGAGATGTGGCATTTAGGTCAGAGATATAAAGCCACAAACAATGGAGAACACAAACATTGTATGGGGAAAAGGCCAGATTGTGAATTAGGACATCTGAGTTTGGGCAGCTCTTCCTGGGTCTATAAGAGCAAGGTGGGTGACAGGACTTCAAAAGTCATTTCAAGCGCTAACATTGTGTGACCTAAGTCATCCTTGTTTTATTGAGATTCACCATATATGGGTTTCTTCTATTCCCAGGCCCTATGGCCTGTTGCTTGGGTCTGAGGCTCCAGATGTCAGACACAGTGGGTTTCTGTCCCAGGGTCAGCCTCCCTGAAGGTATCACCTCTAACAACTAAGTTTAACTTTTCTTTTGCTCAATCACTGTGTTAGTAAATTGGGAATGACAGTTGCTACATCTAGAGTTGATATAGAAATGAAATAAAAACAAGTCCTATTGCAAAAACAAAAACAAATCCTTAGATATATTTCCATCACTGGTGGCTCTTCATTCATGTTATGTTGGGAGAAGAGTAGGCAATAATAGTGCATGAAGGGCCTCCCCGGTGGCGCAGCGGTTGAGCGCTGGGTTGCGAAGCTGCCTGCGGCCTCTGCAGCTGGTTCGATCCCCGGCTGCTCCCCGGCTGCCGGAGGAGGGTCCCACATGGCGAGCGGACCTCTCCTGCCGCCCGCTGCTCCCCTCAGCAGTGTACTTCGGTCCTTCTGCCTGCTCTGCTCCCCGCTCTGGCTCTGGTGAATTCTCTCACCCTCCCGCGCTTCTGACTGTACCCAGTGCATGTATAAACAAAACAAACAAACAAATAATAAATAAATAAATAAATAAGACATGCCTCTAGAAAATTTAAAAAAAAAAAAAAAATAATAGTGCATGAAGAGAACTAACCAAACCCATTTTCATGTCACCTCAGGGCCTTTGCACTTACTCTTTTTTTTTTAAATAATAAATTTTATTTTTATATTCCCCATACAATTGCACCCCCCCCATTCTGACCCAATCCCTCCCCTCCCACCCCCACCCCAAAAAGTGTCTCTGGGACATAGTTTTTTGTTGATTTTGATTTTCACTTTCTTATAGTTATTCATTTTCCTGGTCCCTTATTTAAGTTTTCTAGATTCCTGCTATGAGTGAGACCATCCGGTATTTTTCTTTTTCTTTCTGGCTTATTTAGCTGAGCATGATCCCTTCCAGCGCCATCCATGTTGCTGCAAATTGCATGTGTTTATCTTTTTTGAATGCTGAGTAATATTCCATGGTATATATGTACCACATCTTCTTGATCCAGTCATCTATTTTTGGGCATTGGGGTTGTTTCCAAAGCTTAGCTATTGCAAACAGTGCTGCTATAAACATAGGGGTGCAGGTGTTCTTTGGAATTGATGTTTCTGTGTGCACTTACTCTTCTTGCTGCCTGGAACACATTTTCTCCAGATAGCAAGTCTCTTTCCTTCACATTGTGAAAAGTCTTTCTCAAAGCCCCCATGGAAAACAGCATGGCCACAATTTCCTCTGGTCCTGATACATCAGCACTGTCTATATACTTCCTTGATGATTTTTTCCTACACTATTAATCCCAGTTAACTGATGTCTCCCTTCCTTCACTAATGGCAGGGATGAAACCTATCTTACTTTCTGTTAGTACTTAGAACGAGATATGAGAAAAAGGTGTTGATTTCTCCAAGAGAAGGGAGGGTGGAAGAGCGTTGAGTGACAACTAAAAGGGTTGGAACTCCATGGTCCTGCCTTTAACCTCCACTTGGTCAGGCTCTCTGAGCCCCACTGGAGCAGGGGGCAATGTGGGGCATTGGTACTTGCTTTTCCTAAGGGAAAAAAAATATTACATGTGGTGCCAGCTCTATAGCTAGCCCAGAAGAGACTAAGGTAAACAGAGAAGCCACACAAGAAAATACCTGGAGTGGGACTCCCTGATGGCGCAGCGGGTTGAGCGCCGCACTGTGAAGCTGTCTGCAGCCTCTACAGCATGGGTTCGATTCCCGGCCGGCCAGGGAGAAACCCATATGGAGCAGCAGACCTCTCCTGTCTCACCCGCTGCTCCCCTCAGCAGTGTATTTCAGTAGATCTGCCTGTTCTGCTCCCCACCCTTTCTCTGGTGAATCCTCTCACCCTCCTGCACCTCTGGCCCGTGACTCCGTTCTTGTATAAATAAATAAATCTTTAAAAACGAACAAAAGAAAATACCTTCAGTGATCATGGGGTTGAGACTATACTTGTTGCCTGGAGGAGTCAATAGGAACTGAGGTCATAGCATCAAATACAGTTGTGGGCCGGGCAGGTCGCTTATGTGAAAAGTCAAGAAAGTGAAAATATAAAATAGAACTATAACCTCATGTTAATATAAAAAAAAAAGACCCTATAATTATAACCTTACAATTTTATTAGATTTCACTTCGGCAGAGGCCTTTGCCTCTCTGGGACTCACCCTGTCAGCTATCTGACAACACACTGGTAGTAAGAAGGAGAAACTCATCTTCATGAAGAGAGATTAAATTCCCCCCATATTTCAACATAGGGGTCACAAGACTCTTTCACTGACTCTGGGGAAACTGAGGCAAATAAAATAATGGTATCCTGACTTTCAGAAGAACACCTGAAACAGTGTCTCTATTTTCAGGGGGTTGAGCTGCCAAAACAAATTTCTAGATAAAGTAGGTCATTTTGACCCCTTTAATACCTTCTTAGCACCTCAGTCCAGCTCCCCTTAGTCAGAGGTTCTACATTACACATTTGGCAGTGTACTCTTGTGCTTATCTGGGCTAGGAAATCTCTTAGTGCAGCTCGTGACTCCTTGCAGTATTGTCTCCTCAGAGGCCTATTGTTTGTTGGTGTTATTTGACTGCAAGTTTGTCATGAACTTCTTGCTTCCAAGCTCTTGCCCATTGTGTTTGGGCTACACTTCAAGGAACAGAACTTGCCAAGGAAGTTTAGTTTCCAGAAAAATAAAATGTTCTTGTGTGTGTGTGTGTGTGTGTGTGTGTTTCCCCTGCCTTTAAGGTGAAGTCTGTGCAGATCACACCTCACAGGACAGAGTCAGTAAAAAGGAGATCAGGGAGTAACTGGGCTGGGGGACAAAAAGAGTGGTTGAGAGCACGCCCTCCATCCGACTGCCCACAGAGTTGCTTGTGGCCTGAATCTGTGACATTTGTTGTGTGACCTTTCATACTTTCCTAACCTCTCTGTGCCTGGTTTATTTATTTTGTTTTTTTTTTTTTTTTTTTTTTTAAGAGGCATGTTTTTTGGTTTATTTATTTATTTATTTGTTTGTTTGTTTGTTTTGTTTATACATGCACTGGGTACAGTCAGAAGCGCGGGAGGGTGAGAGAATTCACCAGAGCCAGAGCGGGGAGCAGAGCAGGCAGAAGGACCGAAGTACACTGCTGAGGGGAGCAGCGGGCGGCAGGAGAGGTCTGCGCGCCATGTAGGACCCTCCTCCGGTGGCCGGGGAGCAGCTGGGGATTGAACCAGCGCCACAGAGGCCGCAGGCAGCTTCGCAACCCAGCGCTCTACCGCTGCGCCACCGGGGAGGCCCTGGTTTATTTATTTTGAAAGGAGAAACATAAGATGACCTTAGGCTTGATATTAGGATAAGATAACATGTGTACAGCGCAAAATTAAGCACTCAATAAATTTAGCTGCCAGAGTTACTATTCCCTGGAGGTTCCTCTCCATGATATTGTTAACCCTGTGATTAGAGAAGATCAGGGCTCATTTGTGACCTCAAAGAAAATTGAGACCTAAAAGCTTCGGGGGAGTTTGAACCTACCATGGAAGTTGTAGGTGATGGTCTAGACTTTGAATTGAGTGCTGCTCTGTCTCTTGTGAGATCTTCCCACAAGCTTGCCTTTGCCCAACATAATTTGCATCTTCTCTAAGAGTTAGTGCTTCCACCACCGACACATCTCAGCTTACTACTGCCCCCTGGTGGGCTGGGGACGTCACTAGCAGGACTCTTCCAAGAACTTCAAGTTAGTGACATTCCTGGACAGCAAGATTATCTTCAGGTGAGTCTGGAATCATTTAATTTCTCAATCTTTAGGTTCCTCGCCAGAAAAATGGGGGTAATAATAAACCCTCCACAGAAGATTTTGTGGAGAAAATCAAATGAGATCGTAGCACGTGTGAAATCTAATTTGGGGTATCTGTAGTAGTAATAGTGGCTTTAATTATTCTCCCCGAGTTCTCCTAGGGAAACTTTGTGGTAGGACTGTCCCTTAGAGCTGAAGTAGCCAGCAGGCTCTGACCAGGAATAAGCAGCATGCCATGGAAGTGGGATGGAGGGTTCAACAAATCACCATTT